GGAAATTACTCAAAGCAAAAGTAACGGGGGTCTTGGTGTTAGAAAGGTTAGAATCATGAATGAATGTCTTCTTCTCAAATGGTGGTGGAGATTTGGGAGTGAATCTGACTCTATTTGGAAACAAGTGATTCTTAGTAAGTACCCACAGCAGGGTGGGTCTAGGTGGCCAGATCTGTCACGACCCCAACCCGCCCCTAGTAGGATGGTGCCGTGATGGCCAGTAATCCGAGATTACCGAAGGCCAATTTTCAAAATCCACACACAAACAGAGTAAAAATATATGGGGCTCACAAGTACGGAAGCAATACATATAAATTAGATTAGTCCATAAGAGCTGTGCGCAAGTCAAATGAAATGGCAAACATCTCCACATAGGTTACAACTTAGTACAAATGAAGTAAAGTACATATTACATCTTGATCAAAAGGCTTCTCAAGCCGACGTATGCAAAATACAAGTATTACAAGTCGAGAAGCATAATTTTCAAGACTGCCGATATGAATACAAGTCAAGCTGACATAACAAAAATCCAAAACAAGCTCGCGAATCACATCTAGGCGTCACCGCCTTCTTGCTCATCACCTACATATATATAGAGAGGGTGAGCTTGGATACTCAGTGAATGATATAAATAATAAAGGGTTTGCATGAATAATAGCCGAAGTCTTTTCAAAACGATACATATCAAAACTTTATATAACAAGGGATGGACCTCGTCCATCTAGTAAAGATCTTTTCAAAGAGCTTCAAGGTGTGCTTACTAGCATCAAATATTACAAAATAGAATGACATTCAACGGACAAAAAACGCCACGCGGTAAAACCGTCAGTGGCAAAACAAGACAAAGCAAGGGAGATATCTCAAAACAATGGTGCAGTTGCATTATTAGTCCCCTGGCACTAAGGACTCTCAAAACAAGATGTGCAGTTGCATTATAGTCCCCTGGCACTAAGGACTCTCAAAACAAGATGTGCAGTTGCATTATAGTCCCCTGGCACTAAGGACTTTCCGAGAATGTGGATTCAAAAAACAAGATAATACTTGATATACAAAATAGGGACAATCATTCATGCTTAACAAATACTTTTCAAAACAAAGCTCATGAAAACATTGATAACATAGCTTTATTAAAAATACCACTCACATAGTTCTTCAAACGTCGGGGTCAAGGCAAAAGTCCGAGTCCTACAAACACACGGCAAGGTCTATTGAACGTACTTCCAAACATGATTCATATGCAAACGAATGATCTCGGCGTTCATCAAAACCAAGTTAAATCAAAACAAAACACTGTTTTTCATCTCGGGAAAAAATATGCCGGGCATCAACCAGGTTCTTGGCCAAGGTCCCACACCTTCTCACCGAGGTGTGGTCCCGACGGCCACATTCAAAAGCGAAGTCGGGAAAATCTAGGTTTCCCTTTAAAGAACATGAAGAACATGAAGATGAAGAAGATGGAGAACATGCATGCTAAAATCATAACTTGTTACTACAAAGTCTGAGATTTCGTGCTATGAGTTCGAAAACATGGACCTAGGTACCCATACTCAAAGATCTTGTGAGAACAAACACAAAAACATGGTTCTTGATGCAAACTTTCGGATCAAAACAAGACTTTTCTTCGAGAACACATGAACACTATCTTCTCTTACAAAACCAACTTTAAATCGATGCAAGGCATGCAGAACAGGTTCGATCATGCAATGCAGCTAGACGATCAATAAGAACAACAAGAGTAGTTTAAGATTCTAACCTCAAAACTAGGATCTAACGGTTCAAACTCCTACGGTCAAGCTTGGAGGTCCACTCTCTCACTCAAAAGCTTATCCTTCTTCTTCCTAGAGTCTCTCTCTCTCTAGAAGACAAGATTTGATACAAAAATGATATGTTTCTCGACAGTCACTGACTTAACCCTCTGCTGGAACACGTGGCATCGGCTGGTTGGCTTTACTCAAAAGGGTGACTGACTGACAAGACAAAACCATGACAAAGTGTATTCAACAAGCTAGATGGCAAGAGCACTCCGGCAAGTGATGATCTCGGCTAAGGGAAAAGCTTCAGCAAGTAGGGTGACAACGACATCGGCTTGGAAGGACAACACTTGACTAAGCTGTGCCATACCTTGGCCTAGATGTGCCACACCTCGGTCTAGGTCATACCATTCCAGGAACAAAATCACTAAGTGCAAGGATCAAGGATCTAGAGCGCCTAGATAATAACATCTTGGCCTAGATGATGCACATCCCGACCTAGGTGACGCACACCTCGGCCTAGATGATGACATCTCGGCCAATATGCCAAGGTGAAGATGGAGGCCAACAGAAGTGGTTCCAAGATAGTTCTAAGTGTGGAAAGGTTCCAAGGTGTCTAGGCTTAAGATGACCTCGGCAACACACCAGGCAAGAACAAAGCATGCAGCAACACTCAAGCAAAACAAGACTGGATTTGCAAATGCACATAACAAAACAAGATCATACATAAATGTATGCAAGTATGACTAAGTTGGAGTGAGGGTTGTTACAAGATCAAGATGCAAATTCCAGATTTTCTATGGTGTGGAGGGACATCTTGAGGGTTGCTATTAAGTGCCCAGAGCTGCTGGAGGTATTTAAGGCCAATTCAAAGATTAATGTTGGGGACGGGAGGCTCATAAGTTTTTGGCTGGATCAATGGGTTGGTAGAGACTGTTTAAAGAACTTATTTCCTAGATTATTCTCTTTGTCTTTGCATAAAGGTATATCATTAGCAGTGATTAAGAGCAGGAGTATTGGAAATGAGGGGTGGAATTTGTCCTTTAGAAGAGCATTGTTCCAATGGGAACTTGAAGAGTTGAGGAGGATGAAGTTGGTGCTACAAACTGCTCCAGAGCTCAGGAATGGTGTGCTAGATAAGTGTCTTGGGCTGCAGACAGGTCTGGCACCTTTACTATTTCGTCTGCCTACAAATGGAAGGAGTCACCATCTACTATGCCTGTAAAAGTGGTGGATCTCATCTGGAAGAATGCTGCACCTCCGAAAGTGCAATTCTTTGCTTGGCTAGCATGGAAATGGAGGATCAAGACTGCCACGTACTTGCATAGAATTGGAATCCTAAGTGCCAATTCTGATGTTAACTGCGTATTTTGCAGGGATGAAAGGGAAACTGTGTCTCATGTGTTGCTGTGTTGTACGTTCAGTTGGAGAGTTTGGTCTCATATGATTGGATGGTAGGGTGTATCATGGGTGCAGCCGGGTTCAGTGGTTGGTCTTTTTCAATGGTGGACTGGGTTTAGATGCAATAACAGATTGAAGGCAATCTGGAGGCTAATCCCACTGGCAGTGCTGTGGTCCTTTTGGAAGCAAAGGAATGAAATCATCTTTAATAAGTCACAGTTGGATTTCGAGAAGTTGTGTGATCTTATCAAAACACGGATTGCATTGTGGTTCAGAGCCTCTACCCCTTCCTTTTGTTATTCAGTTGATGATTTGGTGCTTAATTTGCAAAATGTGAAATTCTGTTTCCTGCACTGAGGGTGGTAACCTGTGTTCTGCTGTTTGTTTTGCTCTGGTGCATGGCTGCTTGCTGTTGTGCTCTGATCTGTCTGATCAGTCTTGATGTTGTGGTGGTTTAAATAATCTTGGTGCTTGGATTGGTTGAAAGATGGTTGCAGTTTAAATAATCTTCTATGCCTAGTCTGTTTTTCTGCCTCGTAGTGCTGATGCTCTGCTTTGTAGGGATGTTGTAGGGAGTGATCTGTTGGGAGTTTAACAGTGGGTTATACTGCTTGCTCTGGCTTTGGTGTTGTTTGTGCCTTTTTTTTGGTTTTGGTTTCCTGTGCTTGTTGTGCTTGTTGGTTCCTCACCAACTAGGAGGTTGGAGCTTGTTTTTAGCTCCAAGCTCCTCTTTATTGATGTAATGTTTATATATTCATCAATAAAGTCTTCTTTTCGCCGATCAAAAAAAAAAAATATAGGTCATGTTTATTTGGCGGATTACGTTAGATGGAATTGTTAGTGAAAGGATTGTTAGTGAAGAGATTGTTAATGTAGGGATTATTAGTGATGGAATTAAGTAAAAGTGTGTTTATTTTGATGATAGTATTGGAGATGATTTAAGAACTTTGAAATGAAATATATTAGTAAGACAACCTATGTGATAGAAATTGAAATATTTCTGAATGAATCACATGAATTGTTGAGATTGTCTCAGAAGGTATATATTAAAAGTTCTATAGAGATTTAGAATGAAAGAATATTCACATAAAGTTATTCATGTTCCAAAAGGAAATAAGTCCAGTCTTATGCAATATATATATATATATATATAATCAATTGTTTTCTAATTGACCTAATTTTAAGGTTTACACCAATAAAATGATTAATAAATAAGAAAGAAAATATGAAAAGCAAAAATCACTTTTTCCTCACAATTAAATTATCATTTTACCAATTTAAGGAAAATTATTATTCCATCCTAAAAAATAAATAATTTCCCTTGAAACTGCTAACATTTTCACTCTACATTTTTTTCCTCACATTTAAATTATCATTTTCTTGGTTTAAATCTTAAACGGACGAATTACACTAACGGTTTTGGGACTTGTGTCACTTAAATCCATGACTTTTCAATTGTGATACATTTGATCATAAATTTTGAATTTCATTACATACACAACTATTAATGCAATTCGCCCATCTTAAAATTAAATAAATTAGGAAATACACAATGGTTTTACCCACATCTATTTATTGACCGACTACATTGACATATGAAAACAAATACAATGAAAACATAGCCAAAACAAGCCCCAAGTAGAGAACAGTTCGTGGAATTCATTCACTCAGTTCATATTTCATGCTTCAGAAAGCGTTATATTAAATTACAAAGCAATAGACTTTTGTTGTATTCTGTTTAGCAAAGTATTCTCTCAACAACTAAAGGAAGGGTCGAACAAGAACCAAATGAATATAACTCATTCATGCAATAGAACAAGCCACAAAATAGCAAACTAGTTCTATATAATTCATATTTTTTATTATTTACTAATTCCATTGCACTTAAAAATCCCAGTTACACAGTCGTGTGATCAATATGAATTTTACACATCTTACATAAAATCTAAATATTTATTGTATATGTTCAATAAATAAATTTTGAGTACATGAATTACATTTAACAATGGAAAATCTAGAGTATCAGAATTTACTGTTTATTTTTCGTTGTTTGACACAGCCTTGAGAAGTTTAAAGGTGGGAAGTTTACCAGCACCCCTTCTTGAGTGCTCTCTCAATCCTCGAGATGCTGCTGCAGCTCTTCGTGCTCTCTCTTTCACTTCGTCCTCTGCAACCACCACATAAAATTTTAAAGTAAAAAGTGTTGGCCATATTTTGAGGCAATTTCTGCTGTGCATATGATTTGTATTAATGTAGAAACCATTCAACCATCAACATAATTTACTTCATTACTATAGTCACCACAATAATAAGCATCCAAAGTACCAAAATTTATTTCTGTTCTACTAAATGCACTCGGGTAGCACATTTACAATTCCAATTTTTTATTTTTTTTATAGTATTTCCAATGAACACTAAAGATTCAAGCGCCTCGAGTTCTAGCCTCTTTGGATCTTTACAAATGCTAAAACTGGTGACAATACTGTGTGGAAACTATAAAGCATAGACACGGACATGGAACACAATGATTCTCAATAAATTATGATACGAACGCAGTGGGAATATGGCAAGAAATATATTTTTGTTTACTATTTATATTAATAGAAATTTAGGATACATAGATATGCGAGGAATATGGATACATACGTGGGTGTTTTTTTCTTCCCCCTCTACTTTTTCTCTCTTTAATTCAATATATTTGACTTCGTCACCAAATCAGCTTCCTAAAATTATTTAGTAAAAAAAAAAAATAAACGATAAAGGTGTCCTGAAGAGTGTCCAATCACAAGACATGAGTGTCTATAAAGCATCCCTGGCATATTCTACAAAAAGATTAAAAAAAATTGAACGCCATGTGGCATGTCAAACACGTTGACACCCGTGTCCTACCTGTCAGACATCGACAAAACACCAATCTTGGAGTGTGGTGCTTCTTAGAAAATAAATCATACAGCATTAACCTTGCATTCCTTGCTACTATCTATCCTAAACTAGGCCAAATTCAAGCATAAAGCTGCTTTAAACATCAACTTCTACCTTCTCACTCAAAAAAAAAAAAAAACGTAACAGTTGAGCCTTTCCCCAATATTTATAGGGAAGCTTTCATTAGGCTCAATCCTTCATCATCAGTCATCAGACATTTGTACTTAACAAAATATTTATATCAGAATAATGAGTAGAATGCTACAAGGAACCCTTCCAAAATTTTAAACATTAGGACTAATAAATTAGCAATTTTCTTTATTGATACCTGTACTTTGATGGTCTAGATTGCCCCAATATGATTCAGTTTGATCAGAAGCATTCTGCTTCATCATCCTCACTTTAGCTTTCTCCTGGACACAATGTATAAGCCATTTGTCAAACCTAACACCGATTTCAGTTATAATAACAGAAATCAATGAATATAACAAGTATACCAGCCCAATGATTACAAATATGAGCAGCATTAAAAGATCAAACTTGCTATAGACAATATATCCAAGGTCAAAACATAAAGAAAATCGTTGGTATGGAATATATGTCTCAACTGGAATGCCATCACTCTCTTGCCATTCCATGTTTGTGTCTTATTTAGAATTTGCTTCCTTAATACAAAAATTGTTTCTATTTACTAACTTGGGGCGAGCTCCTGGAACATGGTCTCACTTCTCGAATATTTTGAAAGAGCAGTTGTCACTTCTCAAATTACACACCCCTATGCTCTTCCTTTTGATTTGTAGTTCAATATGAAATAGTTTCATTGGCAAATTTTGTTCAATTAAAATTTGTTCTTTTATCTTGGGAATCTTGTAATTATTGTTCACATTTTTTAGTCGAACATGATATATTGGTCACATTGATTGACCGAATAGAAGCTAAGTCATACAGATCAGCAGATTTAGCACCATGACATGTGCACTATATCTAGGAGGTATAGAAAAGTATCCTCACTCTAGGTACTGATGGAAAATTAAATTCCACTGATGAGATGTATGGGAATGTAATCCCAATGATGTATTTTGAGAATGAATTTGGAAGTACAAACACACTAATTTTATTTATGAATTTTGTGGATACATGTAGTATCTCTCTATCTCATCTCATCTCATAATCTAAAACTACAACATAAATCATCTATTTATAGTACTAAGCCTCAGGTGTGAATCCCTGATGGCTGTGAGATGTAACCAACTCAATTCCCATGTTTTTCATATTTGCTTCATGGTGAAGCTTTTGACGGTCAACAATAGAGGGCTTCTGTGAAGCTTCTCCTTCTTCTTCATCCTCTTTTTCAATCGTCTTCAACTTTCTGCAAGCTTCTAGCGTCCATTTCATGATAAAGCTTCTTGTAGATGATCTCATGGTTGAGGCAATCATCCTTGATGGAATTGGGTTTAGATTTTTCAACGGGAACTTTAAGTGATTTCACAGAACTTATATATGTTACTGCTGGAAGTATCCGATGGATGGCCAAATTACTAAAAAAAGCTAACGGAATTTTCTGGGGACAGAAGGTTATTCAGATTGACAAATGAAATTCTAAGCAATGTAGCTTAACCATGCATTGCTAATGAATAAATAAGATAACAAGAAAAGGTTTTTATAAAAAGCCCAAAAAATAAAACTAATGCAAAAAATTGAGACACCAAATAATAGCTGAAGTACAATACAGAAAAACCCACAAAATAAAAAATAAAAAATAAAGAAGGAAAGGAATGGAAAGAAAATGAACAAAGTAGAAAAAGAATAAAAAAATATCAAAGTTCTTACCAAGATTTTAGCTTGTCTCTTTTCCCATCAAGAGGTTGCCTGCCACATTTGGAATAATTTGATGAAAAATAGAAATCAAATATATTAATACTGAAATATTAAAGTAAGCTAGCAGTTTAATTATAATCATCTAATAGATCTTAAAACCTAAGATAAAACTTAGAGATATATCTTCATGAAAGGTCTCCTGCCAGAAAACTTTCCAAGAGCTAGTTAACCAAGAAGTCCATCATTCAGTTCATCCATAGGGGGAATGTACAGCGTCCAATAAAGAATTGAGGTCTTACCATTCTAAAAACATCCACCTAAGAAGGTCCCAGTCCTAAAAGCATCAGTGCAACCTGATTGTCATTAATGAAAACTATCAATTTATATCTATTTTAGTTTTTACTTTTAATGAACCAGACAAATGAAACAAAGCAATCATGCACAGTACTTGGGCATACTTTTATTGTGAGGTAAAGATTTTTGTTTTTTTATTTACAAAACAAAAACAAAAACAAAAAAAAAGTACCTGATATATATTAGAAGAGAGGTTTTGAAAGATTATTTGGTCTTTTTAAGATGTTCTGATGAATTTAAATCAACAGAAGAATATCAAGCAAGAAAAACTAGTCCCTCTAGTCCCTAATATAAAAAATGCAACTCAAAGCTACTCTCACTTTAAGGTAAGCAAGCAGTTTAATTATATTTATCTAATACATCTTCTTAAAACCTAATATAAAACTCAGAGATCTTCATGAGAGACAAGGCCTCCTGCCAAAATACTTTTCAAGAGCTTAATGAAAACTGCCAATTTATAGTACATCCGTAGGGGGAATGTACAATGACGAATAAAGAATTACGGTCTTACCATTCTAAAAGCATCCACAGAACAAGATCCCACTCCTGAAAGCATCAGTGCAACCTGATTGTCATTAATGAAAACTGCCAATTTATAGCTATTTTAGTTTTTATTTTTAATGAACCAGACAAATGAAACAAAGTTGTCATGCACAGTACATGGGCATACTTTTATTGTCAAATAAAGATTTTTGTTTATGTTTTTTTATTATAAAAAAAGTACCTAACAAATATTAGAAGAGAAGTTTTGGAAGATTGTTTGGTCTTTTTAAGGTGTTCTGACGAATTTATACCTACAGAAGAATATCAAAGCAAGAAAAACTAGTCCCACTAGTCCCTAATATCACTGAGAGGAACATATTAAATCAATGAAACTTCACCCATAAAGCTACTCTTACTTTTACAAGCTCACACAGTTCACCCAAATTCGGTTGATGGCCATTAAAGATGCAATCATTTCTATGCTTCCAAACAGACCAAATACTGCTATAGGAACAACATTCCAAATCTACGATTCCAACTTACTAAACTTAAACCCCAGCCACCATTGTGGTAAGCCTTCCACGGACGCTAGTGTTACCCAATGAAACCAACACCAACTGATCATTTCAGACCAAACTTTCCAAACAAAAGGGTAGAAAAGCAGAATATGATTCAGAGTTTCGGCATCAGAATTACAAAACATAGAGGTAGTGTTAGTGTCAGGATTTTGATCCTAACAAATTTAATGAGTTATGTTTTGGCAATACCATTCTTGACAAAATTTAATATCATGATTATTGATTCAAAGTGTTTTTGTTTTTTATCTGCTGGTAAGTCATGTTCTGGATGTTTATAATCATCTTGGTTATTATGCCTCATAGATATGGGTTGAAAAATATGAGAGATTTTGGTTGATTTTGTTGACATAAAATGGGCTAACTTTTTCTTGATTTTGTTTAGTAAAAAATATAATCTTTGTTGATGATTGTGTCTTTGCATACAAGCATGTGCAAGTGATGAGTCTTTCCAGCCTAAAAGAAGGTTGGTTGTCTATAAGCTAAGGAGGCAGAACATGGCTAAATTTTTGGAAGAAAGATGAAACAAAAAGTCTGCAAAGGCTGCTAAGCATGCATGTGTGATCAAGCCAGCAAGCGTCACCATCGCGCCCGCAATGTTCCTTATTCGCGCCCGTGATTTGCAGCTTCCGAAAGACACACTCTCAGTATTTTCTCTGCAACCCACGAAGGGAGCTCATGCTAGCAACCAACCATGACCACGTCCGCGATGAAAATGTCCACGCCCTCTAACGTGCCCTGCCTCAGGCCTATTTAAAGGACCCTCGGCAAAATTGTTTGGGCATCTCTTTTGTATCTCTCATCTCTATGGTGCTTCTTTTGTGTCTCTCCCAGCACATTGTCTACATCTCTCATACCTCTCTAGAGCTCATATTGTCAAAAATATAGAGAACTTATTTTTTAGAGAAATATATTTTGAGAGAGTTTGTTTTTAATAGAGGATTATTTTGAGAGTGACCTTGTAGTGAGAATTATTTGTATCTCTCATTTTCTTGATGATTCATTAGTTCACAGGAGCTTCAAATATAATCATCAAGTTGTAAAAAGTTCTTCACAATCTTTCAAAGGTGAACCTTGTTGGTGGATTCCAAGATTATAGGTTTCAGTGGATTCCAGAGTCATTGGCATCATGGCGATTCAACAACCATAGCAGATATCCAGTGGAGAATGTGGAGGTACCTGTAGATTGAGCAAAGTTGTGTGCTAGTGAGTGAACTCGTGCTTGGATTGGCCTTTGTAAGATATCTCATGCACTATCTTTCTTGGTAGATTTCAATTGTGATTTTTATCACAAATTGGTAGATTTCAATTGTGATTTTTTCACGTAAAAAATCTTGTGTGTTGTGGATGTTTGTTTTTACTCTCTCTACTATAATGGTAGCATAATTTTTATTAGATTGCCTAAATCAATAATCACGTTAACATGGGACGCATTTAGATTTTCTAAAAGAATTTTTCAATAAATCTAGATTTTTCAGTTAGCATCCAAATTCAGCACACCAATTCTTTGCAAAAACTCTGAAGCCTTAATTCTTCCTTTGCATGCTAATCAAGCAAAAAAATTGAGCTTTATGAGGAGTGGCATAATGCAATAACATCCCAGGACAAGAGACCTTCAGACCACGGGCAAACTCAGACCACATAAAGACTGAATGCACCATAAACTAGCCTAAGGATGAGGCAGCCCATCTAATGTGATCAGCAAAACCAACTCTTAAGTAATGGAGCTGCACACAGCAAACCATAAAGTCTGACCACCTCCTTATGCTCCCAACCAAAGTGAGATCTTCTAAAGCATAGATTCCAGTTGCTTGAGTTGTCTGTCCTCTGGATAAACATCCTCAAGGATCACTCATTATCTGTTGAAAGGCTAAAATGTCTAGGAAACTCATCTTTAAGGCTAACATTCCCAAGCCATTTATCAATCCAGAAGCGAATTTTGTTGCCATCACCTACCACATCAGTATTGGCAAGAAAAAAAAGTTGAGTAAATTAGGATTGGAAAAAGGAATAGAAATAATACCACTCCAAATCCTTGAAAAGGCAGAATTAGCTCCATAAGATGGGAACCATCTACCTCTCTCAACTCTGTAAATGCTGCAAATCAAACGTTTCCATAAAGCATTGTCTTCAAATCCAAATCTCCACCACCACTTCTCCAGCAAACAATCATTTACATCTCTAATTCTTCTAACTAAAACCCACCTTGTTCCTTGCTTGTAGACACCTCCTGTCAATTGAACATATCAACATTTCTTTTTAACTCTGCGTCCCCCCACAAGAAAGTTGCTAGAAAAGGAGCATCATTACTCAAGAAACACATCCCAATAAAGTTCACATGCCTTCCAATCTATTTATACAATCTTCAATGGTAATGACATAATGAGACAAAGTCTTCCTTTTGCAAATATTCACAAAAATATCCATGAATCTTAATTAGAATTCAACCTAAAACATAAAATAAAAGAGAAGTAAAGGGATGAGTTTTACATATCTCAGTAAATTAATGACTTGAATTATGGAATCATGAATGGGCATAAATTACATATGATGCAAGGAAGGCAGATACCTATTATAAATAATTGGGTAAACTTCACTTTATCCCCTGTGGTTAATGGATTGAAGTGCACAGTTAACACTATTAGCAGCAGACGTAAGAAGACTAATTTTCCCTTGTGTATATATAACATTGTTTACCATTTCACTTCAAACAATCGTGCATTTGAGAAGAGCAAAGGTTGTGTGGAGAGAACTTAGGGTTTGATTAAAGAAATTAACGTTTGGATTGAACAAATTAGTGCTTAGATTTGATAAAGTAGGGCTTCGATTCGATTCAACAAGTTAGGGGTGCGAAGTTACTGATTTGGAAGCAAACGAAGCCCAAAAGTTCAAGAAGAACAAGGCTGAAGGTATTTTTTCGATCTTTTCTTTTTATTCTGTATTCGATTCGCTTCGATTTGCTCTTATATATATATATATATAATGTTAGTTGATGTAGTTTTTTTGCTGTATGGTGTGGCCCCCTATGTTTTGTATATTAGGGTTTCTGTGCCTTGACATAAATATAAAAAGTTACTTAATTTTTGTCGATGTTACCCCTTTTTTGTACTGTTAGTTGTTCACTTTTTCTGATGGACACTGTGTTCGATGATGTTGTTCTTATGTTATTGCTATTTGCTATTTGCTATTTGGTTGTTTGTTTATTTGTAGTGGATGATAATAATGATTTGTTTTGTTTTTTTTGTTGTCATTGTGTTTTCTGTTAAAGTGGGTATGCCTGAAAAGGTCAAAGTTCCTTCTTTTATTATTCATTTACTGATATTTAATCAATTATATAATGTTTTTTTATGTGTTGTGGTCCCAGTAGAAACATTAATTGGTTTTTTAGGATATATTGTTGGGCATTCTATTACTTTATGCTTTTCATGTAGTTTAGTTTTTGTTTGTTTGCTTATGGTTTACTTCAACTTTCTTTTTTTCTTTTTTCTTTTTTCTTTTTTTTTTGTTATTCTTTTTTGTTTTGTGCAATCTGTTTTAGGATTAGGGATTATTCATTCATTATTTTACTTTATGTTGGTTACATGCATGAATATTTTGTTTTGTTTAGGGTTTTGGTTGTGGTCTTAAACAATTTCATTACTGTTGAATACATCATGAGGGCCATTTTGTGTTTCATCCACAAGTTGTTTATGAGAGTGGTAGGGTAAATGAAGTTATTAACTGTGACCCTAACAAGATATCCATATTTGAGTTAAGGGACATTTATTATGACCTGGTTGGTGGAAAAGGAGAAAACATAGATATGTATTATAAATGGCTTGGTTATAGTTTAGATGTTGGGTTGAAAACAATTTATAGTGATGTTAATGTGATGAAGATGCTTTACGCTTATAAAGATTTGGATTATGTAGTAGTTTATGTAGAGATGGTTACAAATCCTATTATGGTTTTGCCATCCAATGGTGAGTTGTTGTCAGATCCCAATGGTGCACAAGGGTAGACTAGGGTGTAGAAGAGAGAGGTAATGGTACACATGAGAAGGTGTTGCAAATTGAGAGTGTAGAACAAGGTGGTAATGACATAGGTGGTGCTGACACCGACATTATTAATATAAACTTGTCTGATATTGAGATCATAATTGATGGTTACATTGGGAATAAGTCAGATCATGAAGAGGTAGCTAAGAGTGAGCATGTGGGTAAGGAATCTGAGGGTAGGGAGAATGCAAGTCAGAATCAGGCTAGGGAGAGTCAAATAACAAGTCAAGATGAGGGTAATGATACATAAAATGAAGAAGGGTTGTAGCATTCTACTAGCATTGAGTCTGTAGAAGGTAATGAGGCTAATGAAAATGACATTGCACAGAGTTGGATTTGGCTAATGAGAAGAGAGCTTACAGTGATGATTTTGAGGACTTGGACTATATAGTGAGTGAAGAATATAATAGTACTAAAACTTCTGAGGATAGTGCAGAAGAAAGTGATGACCAAAGTTGGTTGTATGAAGACCTAGAAAGTCCCAATGGTGACCTATTTGATAAAACTTCACACAGAAGAACAGACGGACCACCACCTACAGTGAATTAAGCATATGATGCCTATTGGTATTTAGATCCTGATAATGATGATGAACTGATTAGTCTGAAAGGGTCATCAGATGAGGAAGATGATAGATACCCTGAATACAAAGAAGTAATGATGAAGGATGCCAAACTTGTAGTTGGAATGAAGTTTCCCAGTCCCCAAGATTTCAGAGAGTATTTGAGAGAATTCAATGTGATCAATGGTTATGATATAAGGTGCATCAGAAATGAGAGTGCTAGGATCACTGCTATTTGTAGGCATAACTGTAGTTGAAGGATACATGCCTCTCTATTGAGGGGAGCCACAACCTTTCAGATCAAAACTCTATCGGGGAAATATACATGTGGGAGGCATTACAACAACAAACAAGCCAACTATAAGTATTTGGGGAAGAAGTTTGTAGATAAGGTAAGAGATAATCATGACATTAACATAGCTTCTTTCAAGAAAAAAGTGAGAAGAGAAATAATGGTGGATGCAAATAGGTTTCAAATTTATAGGGCAAAGAGAAAGGCAAAGGAGGTCATTGCAGGGGATTTGGCAAAGCAATATCTCAAGATTAGGGATTATGCAGCTACAGTTCTGAGGCAAAATCCATCAAGTCACATTTCAATAACAACTGATCCTGAAAAAACAGAGCCTACATTTCGAAGGATGTATTTCAGACTTTGTGCATAGAAAGACGAATTTATAGCAGGGTGTAGACCAATAATAGGATTGGATGGTTGTCATTTAAAAGGGATTTTTGAAGGACAGCTACTCAGTGCTATTGGGAGAGATGGAAATGACAATATGTACCCTATTGTTGTGGCTTTGGTTGAGATTGAATGTAAAGCCTCTTGGTCTTGGTTTCTTGAGGAACGGATGAGTAACATTGGGAGTGTCAAAGAGATGGTGTGGACATTTATATCAAATAGACAGAAGGGATTGGTTAAAACATTTGCAGAGTTATACCCTACAATAGATCATAGATATTGCCTAAGACATATGTACAACAATTTCAAGGCAACGTACAGTGGTTCTGTGTTGAAAGACCTGTTCTGGAAAGCTACATCAATAGGAAATGTGAATGAATTCAATTACTGGATGAAGAAAATTGAAGAAGTTGATCCTAAGACTGGAAACAAGAAGACAGTTGTGGAGTGGTTGAGGGAGACTAACCCTGCCTTGTGGTCGAGGTCACATTTTTCCCCAAGGAGCAAGTGTGACATCCTTGTCAATAATTTGAGTGAGTCATTCAATTCTTACATTCTAGAAGCTAGAGAGCTACCAATCATCTCCATGTTTGAATGGATCAAAAGAAAATTAATGCAAAGGATCCAAATTAAGAAGACTGGAATAGAGAAATACACTAGTAAGATATGTCCCAGTATTTATGACAAACTTGAGAAGGTGAAGGTGGAATCAAGGAACTGCTTTGCAACTTGGTGTAGACACCTGGAATTTGAGGTGGATCATTTTCAAATGAGGTACATAGTAGACCTAAGTACTAGGACATGTAGTTACAAGAGATGGGATTTGTCTAGTTTTCCTTGTAGCCATGCCATCAGTGCCATTCAAATCAATCATGAGCAGCCAGAAGTCTACATGCATGAGTATTACACCAAGTCTAGGTACTTGGATACTTAGGCATTTGTGATACACCATGTTCCAAGCATGAATGAGTATGAGGAAGGTGGCCAAAAATGGAACCCACCAAAAGCAAAGAAATTAGCAAGACCAAAGAAGTTAAGAAATAGGCAAGTAGATGAACCAAGAAATACACACAAGGCATCAAGGAAGAACATCAATGTGACATGTGCTAAGTGTTTGCAGAAAGGGCACAATTAGAGGTCATGCAAGAACAAGCTGCATCCTAAGTCCAAAATGGTGAAGGTCAATGTATACTTATGCATTCATTTATTGTACACGTGTTGTTACATTCATTTGTGCTTCTAACTTAATTTGTTTGTTGCAACAAAGATAATCATCTTCATCTCAACATGCATCAACTTCTACTCTTACTCCTACTCCAACAAAAAACATCCCATCCAATTAGGTAACATGCCAGAAGTTAACTTTTATACTTGACTTGTAACTTCAACATAGGGTTTACTTCAACTTAGGCCTAACTTGAACTTGAATTAATTTGTGCCAAGGGTCTACTAGGGTGTCCACCAGGAGCAAATCACATTGTTCCCAACCACCTATGACAACCAATTAGGTAACATGAATACACAATTTATCTTGGACACAAGTTTACCCATTTTGTTTATGTGCCTAACTTAAATTTTTTTGCCTTAGATGTCCAATGGGAGGCAAACCTCAAAGGGAGCCCATTCAGCACCTCAGCCACCTCAAAGGGAGCCCAGTCAAGTAACATGACTATGTTATCAATTTATTGGTAACATTAACTTTGTGGACATAACTAATGAGACTTCCAATTTTTTTCTCAGAGGTCTAGTGGGGGGCAAACCACAAAAGGAGGCCAATCAGCATCTCATTCACCAGTGACTAGTACTTCTATTGGACTAAAGATGAGGAGTAGTAGGTCATCCACTCAAGTAACTAACTTGTTACAACTCCAACTTTTTTGTTTTGTATTTCGTTTTTTGTAACTTGGTCTTGCCAAAGGACCTGAAGTCATTGTTGCTGGAAGGGGTAAAGGAGAAATTAATGCAACTGGAGTCAATGTTGAAAAAACTGGAGTGAATGTTGGTCTGATGGCCATAGGGAGGGGCATAGGAGGTCCTGTATATGCAAATGGTATAGTAAATACTGGTGGGAGGGGAAAGGGCAATCCTGCAACAAGTGGTGGAGTAAATGCTGATGTGAGAGACAATGCCAACCCTGCTTCCATAACTTATGTACTTGACACAATCATAGCAAGGAGGCAAGCCAAAGAACTGGCTAGTGGGTCAAAGTAGAGCATTTCATGTCTCTTCTTCTTCTTCTTCTTCTTCTTCTTCTTCTTCTTCTTCTTCTTCTTTTTTTTTTTTTTTTGTATTGAAAAAAATTATGGTCTGTTTGTATTTGAGCTAAGGAAGGGTAGACACACACATAGATTTGTGGTTTTTGAAAAATTAGTTCAAGTGTTGTATGCAAATGTTGATGTGTTTTTGTGGCTTTTTAACATATTAGACTTGGCAATTATGGTATTTAAATGCAGCTTAGTTCTATAAATGGATTAATTTTGGGCCATTGTAATGCAGACATAAGGACCATTTTGGCATTGTAATGCAGATTTTTGGGAAGCATTGATTTTGGCTTTGGATCAATATTTATGTTTTGGTTCATTGTTAAATAGCATTGTCATTGCAAATTTGTCCTTTGTTATTATTGTTCCATTGGTTGAAGTGCACTATTTTGGAATTAATTGTTTGTTTTGGAATTAAACTCAATAGGGTAAACTGTGTTGGAATAACTTTGAATGCATTTTCATGTTGCTTGTATTTTTTGCATTGGAATGCAATAAAAGAATTCAAAAAACCACTTATTTCATAAACATAATTTCATTCATTTCACACATACATCAAGTTCATAATGCACCTTACAAATTCATTTCATATTGAACATTAACATGGTGCTAATGAAACACACAATCAAAATCACCATACATGCCTTCATCATCATGTTCAGTGCCTCCATCTTCATTTTCAGCTTCATGAGTCTTCCATTAAAGTGCAGATAGGCTCACCTTCCTCAACTCCTGGCTTCTCATTAGTCTCATCTCTTCTATAGGTGAGAGCAAATTCAACTGGGTTGCACCAAGCCCAAAAATCACAACCCCCAAAACTTGTCTTTTCACATACATAGTACAACCTACCTTTTGAAGGATTCTCGAACTCTACCACTCTAATGGCTGCTTTTTTCCCACAACGACATTTCTTGCTGATGAACCTCAAGATTTGTGCTTCCCCACCACCCATACTACTTGAAGAGGACATTTTTTCTGGGCAAAGTCGCTTGCAACTGGACATAGAGAGGAATGAGAGAGTAAAAAACCAATCTTCTTGGATAGCTTTTATTTCTAACTCTAGGAGCATTTTAGTCCTTTAATTCAGAGGGAAAACCATCAGTTTATGCCCAATTGCACATTACGCACGTGTAATGCATGGGTTGTTTGATTAGATGGAAATGTTAACTGTGCACTTCAATCTATTAACTACGAGGGGATTATGTGGTGATATTCAAATGTCAGGTGGGTAATCCGCACTCGGCCCAAATCACGGGGGGGCAAAGTGAAATTTGCACTAAATAATTTAGATAATGTTTGTTTCATTGAAATGAATATGGAATGATCATTCCATCATAACATCCACTCTCACGTTTGATTCAATCCAAAAAAAAATATTTGTTGGTGAATGTATTATAAATGGAATCATCATTCACCATTGCAAAATTTGAAGGAAAAAAAAAAAAAAAAAAAAAAGCACTTCAAATTTAATCGACTAGTTCAAAAAAAAAACTTTTGAAAAATGAAGATTGGAATAGGAAAATTAAAAAGCTTGTTTAAAAATTCAAAGGCTGCTAGTGACAATTCGGGTTGGAAACGTTGATAATAGTAGTAAGTCCCCCTAAACGTACTTGCATAATAGTACTATCAAGTTTGATTTGCAAGTCTCAAAAGGAGTTCAAGGATTGATAATTTCATCTTCATTATGGGAACTCTTTATTGTATTATTCATTTCTTCCTCTTTACAGGACCCTTTCTTAGGTTGATTGATTATTGGGTTGGTGTTTTTGTGGGTGAATAATTATTGGGTTGGTGTTGCTTCACCATTATAGGACTATTTATCATGCTAGTTGTTGAAGTTATAAAATTAGTGGACTATAATTGTCCAGATGTAATTCTCTTTATATTTTAAGTCTCAAAAAATAAAAAATTGAGTTGCAAGTCTCAAAAAGGAGTTCAAAAATGTGCATGTCTGTCGTCATTGTGGTGTCACACAAGACATAATTAATTTCAATTTAGGAAGCCTCCTCAAAGAACTCCAACAAACAAAAGAACGAGAAAAACAAAAAAGATAAAATCCCAAACCAACCTAAAAAGGAAGGAAAACAAAAAACCATAAAAGCACTAGATAGCAAGAGGAAAATATATATATACATATAGATAAGCAATGCATAATTAGGTAAAGCAGTAAGTCTGTGCACAAAAACCAAACACAGAATGGGACAATCCCCCACACCCCTTGTGTTGTGTCCCATTCTATGTTTGGTTTGTGTGTTCCGAGCATTACTGATAATGTAAACAGTTTTAAGAGAAATAAATAAATGGGCCCATAATAATTAAAATTTCATAATCTTCTCGTAGAGAATTCCTAGTCAAACAAAACACTTGAATACCATTGACACATGATTTTATTCCTAGTAATGTCATCCAGACATATCCTAAAGTTTAGCATTGAAAAAAAATTGTTGGTCTAGAAATGGGAAATTCTCAATAAAGTATGTTTACCATGTTACTTTAGTCCTACAAGTTTCAATTTTGCCAATTTCATCTATAAAATTTTCAACCCAAGTCAAATCGGTGTAATTTTAAATGGTTGGACCTCTAAACCATTAACGAATAATCATAAAATACACTTTTCTCCCTAAAGTATACATTACATGTCATTTTGGTCCCAAAATTTCAATTTTATTAATTGCACCCCTAAACACTATAAGAACATGCTTCATCTTCTTTATATATGTTTAGGAACCAAAGAGACAAAACTAAAAACTTAAGAAAAAAAAGGTGATACAGAATGCACATATTTTAGAAAACCATAAGTAAATATTATTACTATTGTGTTTGTGTTAAGGAATTAGACAGTACAATTGAAATTAAACCAATTTTGAGTCATTTGAAATGGGTTATGTCTATTATAATTTTATTTTCTAATTTGCAGTGGGAGTGTGAGTTGGAAGACATTTTTATTTGGAGGAAACTGTAACTGAGTTGTAAGAGATATATACTTACCTAAGCCTTTCGCTGTTGAGGTGGTCCTCTTGATCATCAATTCCAGGACTTCCACTGAGTGCTGCTGCTGCTGCATTGTAGTGATTGTCGTTGAGGTCGTCGTCGCGTCTTCTCTTTGATGTAGTAGCGCTAATACTACTACTCGATGCTTGTTCTTCAGCTTCCTTGTAAAAGACGTGGACACCGACCTTCTCAATCTCTACTTCGTATACTGGCTCGTAGACCTCTACTCCCAGTTTTTCATTTTCTCGAATTGAAGAATATCGAATTAGTTTATAAAAATAAATGTTCAATTCAAATCCCTCCTCATTTAATTGCTCCATATCATCTTCCGTGATTCCCGAAAATGCACCTCGTGGGACACACCTAACCACCATATTTCCAAATTTCACAGTTGGAATGGGTTCACCCCATTCGATGATCCTCTGAGTAACGTGGCACTTGAAGCTCATTTTAATATAACAATAGTCGGAATTATCCTCTTTGAATCCAACAGCAGCGTAAGCAAATCCCAAGAACCTGTTGTTAAACCAATGTGGAGGCAACTGACAAGATATCGAAGACCCGTCACTTTGATAGCTGAACCACTTTGGAATCTCTCTCCCAGGTAAAACAACGTCAAAATAACAGTTCATTGCACGAAAATTTCTCTGTACAATAGAGATTGGTCTCAATCAGTGGCTGGCGCTTCCAAAAATCTTAGGTTTTTTTTTTTTTACATTTTTTACTTATTACACAAAAATATAGGTAAGTGATGGGACATCTAACAAACTAATAAATTGACTTTTTTAGTTCATTCCAAACCAACCCAAAGTGAGGTACACATCCAAAATCGTAAATTACAATTTATATAAGTACTATTATAAGAAAAATGATTAAAAAAAAATGCATATAAACATATTGTTCAAATGGTAAGAATATTCGGCAAACCTAGTCACCACATAATATAATTTTATATTTTTAAGACCTCTCTTTATATAATAGAATAGATAGATATAAAAATAAGAGCAATGTTGTGTAACTCGAATTTGAGCTTGCGCTGAATGGTTCGAATTTCATCTTGCCGGTCATCCGGCCAGTCGTCCGGCGAAAAAGCTAACAGTCACAATTGACAAGGTGACAATCACAGTAGACAAGTATTTCACCCGGTCATCTGGCCAGTCGTCTAGGAGATCGATCGATAAACACAAATTCGGGCCATTCGGGATAGCTCAATTCGAGCTACCAAAGATTTCTGTAAAAATAAAAATAAAAAGGATAAATGATATTTTACCTTTTAATGTTTTGCCACTTTCTCACTTTGGTCCTTAAAATTTGTTTTTTCTCACTTTGACCCTTTATGCTTGAAAATTTTTCCACTTTACTCCTAAAACTATTTTTTGTTAAAAATTAAATACAAAATACCACAATAACTGCCACATAACATAAAAAATATATTCTTATAGTAATTATTAAATTTATGTCAAATATGTGAGTTATATATATTTATGCTACGAGATTATTAATGTGTCATTTTCTGTCTAATTTTTAACATAAATTAACTTTAAGAGTAAAGTGAGAAAAACTGAAAACATGAATGATCAAAGTGAAAGAAAAAAAAATAAACATTAAAAACTAAAGTGAGAAACTGACCAAATATAAAAGAAGCAAAGTGTAATTTACACTCAAAAAAAAAAATTCACACTCATCTATATCTATCATTTTTTTTTTTTTACAGGAGGACCCACAAACCACACACTGGACAATTGCTGAAGTGGCCCATTAAAATACACACCCAAACTCCCCACAATGTGGGAAGCTTGCCCCAAACCTACTCGGGCCGGAAAGCCCAACCAAGCAAATCTATATCTATCATTCACTTTCTGTTAATCCGTTAAGTCAAACTTTGGTTTAGTTTATCTAATATAGGAGAATTTGAAAGGTTTGGCCTCATTATCAATAATCCGAACTCTTCATTTTTGTAAAATTTTAATTTATATTATTTATAAAAAAAAAAATTTAATTTGATATGATAGTCGTAATATTTTTATTTTATCGAATTTATCCTTGAAAAAAAAGGATGATAGACATTTTTAAAAATAGACTATTCGTTTTTTTAAAGACAAACACGATAAAATGAAAATATTAAGATTATTAGATTGACATAATTTTTTCCATGAATGATATACATTAAGAGTCTTACAGAATAAATGGTTCGGATTATCAAAACATGACCTATGATGAGTCCCACGAGACTCAAATTCTCTCATGTTAAGAGTATACATGAGAGAAATTTAATCTCTTTTTTGGATAAATTATAAATACACCACTTGAATTTTGCTTAAAATATGAATCACCCATGTGGCTTTGGAAATTATATTCCACCCATTGGAATTTCTAATTTCATAATAAATGGTCATTTTATTAATAAATCATCAAGTCAATTAATAGTTTTTAATACTGTTAGAAATATATTTTAATTAATAACTTAGATAATTTTATTATTATATAAGAATACATTTACAAATTTTATTTTTTAGTTAATTTTATTAAATAAAAAATTCTAACAATGGACTATCTATAATTTTTCAAAGTACAAAGAGTAATCTGTATTTTAAGCAAAATTCAGGGGGTGTACTTGAAATTTATATATATTTTTTTAGATGGGAGGAAATTAATCCTTTAAACTTCTCAAATTACAGATAGTTTTTTTTTTATAAATATATTAATATTTCGGGACAATTTAAAAAAACAAAAAAAAAACAAAAAAAAACACTAGAGTTTGAACCTTAAAATAAAATTAAACCTAAATTTTTAATTTTATCAATTTAAATCTTAAACTTTTGATTTGTTTTCAATCTAAACCATTTGCCTATTTTCATTAAATAAAATCAATGAAAAAATGAGTATTTTAATGAGAAGTATATTTTAGACATTTTATGTATTAAATTAAGTGTAATGAGTAAAATTTTATTTTTTGTTTTACTTAACGAAAATAAACAAATTGTTTAAATTAAAAATAGATTAAAAGATTATGGTTTAAATTGACAAAATAAAAAATTTATTTTGTTACAAAACTTAAACTCCAGAGTTTTTTTTTTTTTGTTGTTGTAATTATCCCTAATATTTTTGTTTCAATCCAACAAAATAAAATATGTAAATTGTTTTTGATAAGTTATACGACTCATACCTAGTCTGGAGCTTAAAAGGCATTTATTTTTAAATTTATAATTTAGCATAAATTAAAAAAATAATTACATGTTTAGGAAAAAATTTAAAATTTTAATTATTAATATTTATAAATTTATCATTGATTTGTAATTATTTTTTTAAAATTATTAATGATTTAAGTAGTTAGCTCTTATAAAAAATAATACATATAATTATCTTTATCCTTACAAATGAACTCTCCAAGGGAATCTTTTGAATTAATATCACCAAAAAAAAAAAATAGATCTAATTAATTATAGTCTAGACGAATTATAAATAATGGCGGAACAAGAAAAAAATAATAAAATAATAGCAAAAATAGCAAAAAATCAGATAAAATGGATAATTACGTATTACAAAAAATAAATAATAGTAGAATAGAAATACAAGAAAACCTATATAAGCAATTAGAATTAATCAGTCTGCAAAAAATATAACAATTATAAAAACACACATGCAGAGGATAATTAAGTTAACAATAAATTAAAATATGGGCTTAATCACAATTTTTTATAACTTTTACACTATGTTTGGTTCATAGATATGGAGAGAGATTTGGAAAGGGAAACGAAAGTTAAGTAAAATGTAAATGAAATTAACTACATTTCACACACCTTTTCTCTTTCCGTTTTCAAATTCCTTTCTAAATCAAGGACCAAACACATCCTTAGGCTTATGTTCAATTTTTATATTGTCTTTAGGACTAAATTGATTCGAATTAAATACTTTAAAGACTTAATTGACAAAATTAAGACTTTAAGGACTTAAATGAAAAAGATATAAAATTTTGGAGACTATTATTGTAATTTACCATACATATATATATATACAATGAAAAACGGAAACAGTGGAAAAAAGAGTAGAGCCGCCGTTTCACAGTGCGAGAGAGAGAGAGAGAGAACCTGAAATTTATTTGAAAGAAATTTTTCTGTCAGGATGTTGAAGGACAGCCCGCCAAAAGTATTGCATTTGTTTGGAATCCATTTTGTTCTTAATGATGGGCAATCATCAGCAGATAGGCCATGTATTTCAGATGAAATCTCTGGCAATTCTTGAAGCTTCTTGCAACCATTCAAAACCAAGCCCGACAGCCTTGAAAGTTGATTCATGCTTGCAGGTAAACTTTCCATATTGTTTCCGCTTAGATCCAAAAATACCAAGGAGTCGATGTGACAAATGGCTGTGGGGATAGATTTTAAATTACAGTAACTGAGATCTAGTTTCCATAAAGACTTTAACCCCGACAAAGCTTCTAGTTCAGAAGCCATGGAATTATCTCTCTCTCTTCGTAAAAAGGAAGGCAAGAAGAAAAAACTCCATGAATTAGATGATATTCCTTTACACCCTTTTAGCGTTAGTATTCCAAGCTTCTTCAAAAGTCCAAAGGAGGATGGGAGTTGTCTAATTGCAGTCCAATCTGCATGAAGCTCATATAAACAATCCAAAGCACCCAAGTCTTGCGGCAATTTGTCAAGTTTGGAGCAACCAGAAAGATTTAAATTTCTAAGATCTTTCAACTGACAAATGCTGTCTGGAATACTTCTCAAGTTTTTACAATTGCTCAGACTAATCAAACCAAGATTGGTAAGATGTCCAACTGAAGGTGGAAGTTCACTGACACCAGTCCCATCTAAACAAAGCTTTGATAAACAATTCATATATCCCAAGCTGACCAAAACGTTATCAAGCTTTGAGCACCCAGAGGCAATAAAAACTTCAAGAGATTCCAATTGAATGCCACATGGAAGACTCTTGAGACTTTTGCAGTCCTTCAAGTTCAAACAAATAAGCCTTCTGAGAACTCCAATGGATGGATGAAGATTAACCAAGCCTATACAGCCTTCAAGAATCAGTCTTTCAAGATTTGGGACCCTTGTGAAGTCTGGGCTCTTCGTTAGATATGTCGAGTGACTAAGATCCATGATCCTTAACTCATCCAGATGCTGTTGAAGAAAAGTAAAAATATAAATAAATTACAGAACACAGAAATAAATTACAGGAATCATATTGTGTCAAGGACTTTGCATCTTATTCAAAGTAATTAAAGAGAATGCAAATTCATACCATTGTTCCCTCCCAAAGTTGTTCAATGCTGCTATAGGTTAAGTGAAGTTCAACAAGATGCTCTGGTTGAAATGTTGAAGGCATGTATTTCATAGGGTATCCTAACCATTCAAGATACCTTAACTTGTTAGAAAGATATTTGAGCTCTTCTGAGAGGTGCATACAACAAATTTTGAGAATCCTCAAGTTTGACATCTTTGCAAAAGCTTTAGGCCTCAACTTCAATTGTTTTAGAAACTGAATGTCCTTTGGATCTAGACATCGTAGGTCACTATACTGCATAACTATGCCTTCCACTTCGTTTGTTCCCTAAAAACCACAAGCAAATAACAAGAACACAATATTAGAAGGCTGACAAAATTATGCAGAGCTAGCTTTTGTTAATTAAACAATTTTTGAGTGTTCATTCCTTTCTATAAGACCTCTTACCGTATTGTCCATCAATACATGTTTTATATCTTCATCAAGCCATAACCTAGTGCGCTTTCCAGGCTCTTTAGGTGATTGCTGGAAAACAATGTACCACCCTAGTTCTTGTATCAAATCATGCATCAACAGCTTATTGTCTGAGATAGTGACAAGAGACTTTTGAACAAGAATATGTATTCCAATAATTGGGTGGAAGCCAGAACTTTCTAGTATTTTTATAACCTCATTTTTGTCCTTCCCATTGAAAAAACATGCAATATCTAAGAATATTTGCTGCTCTTGCCAATCCAATGCATCGTAACTTATTCTAATTACTTGATGAACTTCTGCGAGATGGCTTCCTTTTAGTTTGTTTAATGAATTTTCCCATTCATCTTTGCTTTGACCACAAAGAAAAGAACCCAAAACTTCGAGAGCTAAAGGAACTCCTTTAGCATACTCTACTGCACGACATACAAGCGTTCCATAGCCTCTCATTTGTTGGTGTTTCCTGAAGGCTTTCGATTCAAAGAGTTCTATAGCTTCATCTTCTCTTAATTGCTCAACCTCATAGATATGTTTTATGCCATATCTAGTTAACACTTGTTGATTTCGAGTCGTTACAATGATTCTACTTCCAAAACTGTACCAATCTTGCTCTCCTACCAATTTTTCGAGTTTGGTTGATTCATCCACATCATCAAGCACGATAAGAACTTTTTTACGACATACCATGTTCCTTATCATATGTACTGCATGACCATCACTTCCTACTTTCAAATCCTTTTCCATTAAGATTTCATAAATGAGTTTTTCTTGCAAAGTTTTTAAACCACAATTTTTTGAAACTTCTCTAACATTCTCAATAAAGCTGTAACCTTCAAATTGGCAAGAGATAGAGTCATAAACAGCTCTGGAAATAGTAGTCTTACCTATTCCACCCATTCCCCAAATACCTACAACACGAGCATCATCCATCCCTAAACCTAGCAATTCAATCACTTTCTGCATACGAGAATCCATCCCAACTAGGTCTCTGACAACGCTTGAATATTCATATGTTTGATTTAATTTTCTAAAAAGTATCCCAACAAATTCTTGAATGAACATTGCTTCAGACCTGCAGATTTAGGGGGGATAAAAATAAATTTATTCATCAAAACTCAAAAGAGCAATAAGAAGAAAAATTTATTTTGGTAAAATTGTGATTAATTTTACTCATTGCAATTGAAATATTGTTTAATAGAAAGAAAAACATGAAACGTCTTTATTTGCTTTATTTGAATGACACAATGGGTTTCTAAATTTTCCCACAATTCATCTACTTCACTAGTTATTGAACTGCATTTCTTCAGTTCTACTTTAATTTATTGTCAGAAACACTCATGAAGATTTCTATTTTTAAGTTTTTTTTCCTTTGTTATTTTTTATCCCTTTTTGGTTTTAATCTTTATTAGCTTCTTTGGTCTGAAGGTGATATTGAACTAGAGAACTAAGGATAAGTCTCCTATAGGCCTCCCCAACCTCAATAAAACTGTTTGGTGCATAAGAATGTTTGCTGAGCTTTTGTCTACAATTTATGAGGCATAAATGTATAAATAAGTTGTTATTAACAAGCAAGGGAAGATGTGTTTTAGTTTCTGCTTTTCAGTTATTTCTATTTTACAAATTTGTGTAAGAATGTTTGGTGAGCTTTTGTTTACAACTTATGAGGCATAAATAGTCTAAATATTTTTTTAATAACAAGCAAGGGAACAGGTATTTTAGCTTATGCTTTTTGGCTATTAGTCCTTCAACTTTAAAAATTTTACCGTTGTATTTGAATTTATGATTTTGATAGGAATTTGTAGAGAAAAAGAAAAAAAATGTAAAAAATGCAAATGAAATTTAAGTTAATTTTCCACCATTCCTCTCAGCTTTTTATTTACTTCCATAAATTTTTGTCCAAATCCTAAATTCAAACACAATTTACGAGTAGGTTAGATGACAATTTTTTCGTTTTCATTAATGTTATTAAACTAACCAACTTGGCAACGCTTATTTCATGCATATTGTAATGTTTCATAAATAATAATTTTTACTTTCAAACTGATTAATTTTTTAATATGATAACATTCAACATCATATAAAACTATGTTATATATTTGAGAAAAATTATGGTACACACTCCTTAAATGTGTACCATATGCACCTTATAACTAAAGAAAAAAAAATGATATAATTCCTTTTTTTGTAGTCATAACTAAAAAAAAGAAGTTATAACCAAATACTACATGATGTCCAAACACTATATGATGCATAACCAAAGATCTCATAAGTCATAATTAAAATATTATCATAAATAAAGAAGAAAATTAGCCATAGTTAAAAAAAAATGAATAACTAAAAGCGCATATGGTACACCCCATTTAAGGCATGTATATAATAGAATTTCCCTATATATTTATTTAAGTTGCACTAGGATTATACTTCCAAATCAAAAAAATATATATATATATATATATATTTTTAATCATATCTTGCATTGCATATATCGTAACATCTTTTTAAATAATTTTATGATAAATTATTTTTTGCCCTTTTACGTTTGGCCACTTCCTCATTTTGAAGCTTTGTGTTTCAAGTTTTTCTCAATTTACTCCTAAAGTTAACTTCTCTTAAAAATTTTAGAGAAAATGATACATCAACAGTTACATGTCATAAAAATATTTTATTATCTATAATTCAAACTACTGACACAAATTCAAATTCTAATATAATAATATACTTTTTTATAATTATTATTAAATTTTTTATCTAATTTTGAACATAAATTAACTTTAGGAGTAAATTGAAAAAAAAAACTTAAAATGTGAAAAAAAAAAAAAAAGACTTTTAAGAACCAAAAATTAAAAAAATAAAAAATGACTAAATATAAAAGGAATAAATTATAATTTACCCATAATTTTATAATTATAAACATAACGAAAAATTGGTGAGAGTGTTTTAAGACTGATGTCATCTTGGTAAAAAGGACACAGGCACTTTTAAATATATGATGATAAGGACAATCATTGATATTTTTATCATTTTTGTATTTTGTGTTAAATTTTTTAAATCACATAACTTTATTTTATAAATTCGTTTTTAACAAAATTGATATATATTAAAAAAAATATTTGAGAGTTCTAATTGAGCACTCCTAGTCTATCTTAAAAACCCATTCCTTACACTTCAACCTTCTTCTCTATCCCTCTCTATTCTCTATCTTCTATCTCATTAAAGATCAAAATGAGAGAGTGATTTATTAAGAAGATGTAACACCACTTATATATTAATTTGTCTTTTTGAAATCTTTTAAGACAATGAATATCGAATATCAAATTTGAAAAAACAATTATATTGATTAAAAAAAAAGCAAATATTATATTTTTGGTATAATTATGAAAAAAACCCCAGAGTTTAACTCTTGTAACAAAATAATCTCAAAATTTTCAATTTTGTCAATTTAAACCCTAAACTTCTGATTTGTTTTCAATCTAAACCATTTATATATTTTCGTTAAGTAAAACCAACAAAAAAAATATTTTAGTCATTAAACTCAATGTAGACATATATAAAATGTCTAGAATATTCATTTTCATTGTGTTTAATAACTAAAATACCTATATTTTCATCGATTTTACTTAATGAAAATAGACAAATAGTTCAAATTGAAAACAAATCAAAAGCTTAGGATTTGACCTGATCATAGGTCTTTCGATGTCCAATCAACTTAAAATTTTATAGAAATATTTTATTCAACGTACACTAAAAAGTGAATTGTTCGCACCATTAAAATGAAATGAGAACCGAATCGGACGCACACAGTAGTGACACACTTTGTCCTAATAAGGAAGCTAGAAAAAAAAAATCCCATATAAAACTTAAATATAAATATATTAGCATTCAACCTGTGCTATGCACGACTAAATGTATATGATAATGATATATATTAATATTTTATGAATTTTTAAATTATAAATTTACTTTTATTATTGAATTTAGAGATATATGATAAAAATATTTATTAACATTACATGAATATTTAGATCATAAAATTCAGGGCTCCATCTAATTTAACTGAGGTGCAATTTGGGTGGACCCAACTTAAGTAATTTTAAGTATGTAAAATTTTAGAGCCTTAAGACTTTTTTTTAATTTTGTCAAGACTAAAGGAAAAATTTACCAACTTGAATTAAATTCAGTCACAGTTTGAGGAAAAATTGTCTCAATCCAAGCATTTTGATTTTTATTGTTAATAATATATAACCCTTGCATTGAACCTTCACATACATAGATTTCTTGATGAAATGTGAATATATTTTGTATTATAATATATATATATATATATATTTATTGATGAAATGTGAATATATTTTGTTTCTAATTGCAAGTTACCTGGTATCGCTGGGGTAAGGCGATCCTGATAAATTAGCAACTTGCTCCAAAGCATTCCTCCACTTTTGAACATTCTCCATCCCCAATACTCCCTGTTTGGAAACCAATTCATCAAATCCCTCCCCAAAGCTCCCTCTTTGCCTTCTCACTTCCGATGGATCCACATGATAGAATATCGGATAAACTGTTGTGTTGCTGCATTCAAGTGCCTCCACGAGTTCATCCAAACACCATCTCGAAGAAGCGTAATTCTTCGATAAAACCACAATTGAAAACCTCGATTCTCGAATAGCCCTCTGGAGCTCTGGCGAAATCGCTTTTCCTCTCTCGAGCTTTTCATCATCTTTGAAGGTGTGAATCCCCTTCTGAGCCAACGCAGTGTAGAGATGACTGACGAAGTTATCGCGAGTGTCTTCGCCTCTATAGCTCAAGAACACATCGTATGTGTATCGAGGTCGAGGTGAAGATGGAACAGAGGAGGAAGCCATTGTTTAACTGTGTGGTATAAGGAATTAGTAGAGAGATAAAATTGGGAAATTGAAAACACAAGTAGAAACTAAGATCTCTGTGGCCTTTTTTATAATATGAGATTTACGTTATTTGCAAGCAATTTGGTACAGATAAACAACCAATTTTCTTTGTTACTTCCACGAAATTCATCAAAGAAATCGAGAAGGTCCATTGCGGCTGCTTTCCTATCCAAATGTTAAGATCCAATGGCTGAGATTAAGTCTCACCAAAACGACGTCGTTTTTATGAGTAATTTGAAAAAGAAATTTAACAGAAAAAAAAAAAAAAAAAATTAAATCTCGTTTTGGTGAGTAATAAAAAAAAAAAAAAAAAAAATCAGATCTATTTCTTCGTTCCTGTAACTGTAATGTCAAGAAGAACAACGCTTTTGAGGAAATCAAGAGCTGGGATAAGGCGGTTTTTCAAGCAATAGCATAACAGAAATGGGGCCGAAGCAACAAGCTCTGCAACTTCGGTTCTTGAAAGCCCTAAAGATTGGAAAAAATCGAGTTTGGGCAAAAGGGTTTTGTTAGGGTTTGATAAGAGTAACGATGGGGACTTATGAACTAGTTTGGAAATTTGGAAATCAGAAAGCCCACTATCTCTGAAGCAAGATAGAACAGAGACTGGTCCATCGGAGGTCTGAAAATGAACCTTGTGGGATATAGAGTTGGCGATTTCTGGGGATAACCCACATGAGTTTACGAGGGAAGACACTGTAAAACACTCGATTTCATTCTTGGTTGTTGGTGGTGCTGATGTTTTCTTTGATGAGAAGAATTTGATGGGTATTGTTAAATGTAGATGTTGAAGAAAACCCAGATGGGTTGTGACTGAAATTCCAACAGAACCACAATGTCTGAGTCGGCTTTGCTGACAAAGGAAAGCAAACATTGCATTCAAAGTGATATGATAGAGAAAATATTCCGAGGGTAGAGATTATGAACTCACCAGCTTCACCAAGATTTTCTCGATCGATTCAGCATCTCTCTCTCTCTTCTATTTCTTGATCGATTCAGATTTTTTTTAAAAAAAAATTTACTCGCTAAAACGATGTCAGGCTCTCAGCCATCTTTGTTACTTCCACGAAATTCATCAAAGAAATCGAGAAGGTCCATTGCGGCTACTTTCCTATCTAAGATCCTCTAGGGTGTAAATCATAGAGTGATCCATCCGGTGGCTCAGATTAAGCCTCACCAAAACGACGTCGTTTTTTTGAGTAATTTGAAAATTTTAAAAAAAAAAAAAAAATCAGATCTATTTCTTCGTAAGAACAACGCTTTTGAGGAAATCAAGAGCTGGGATGAGGCGGTTTTTCAATAGCATAACAGAAATGGGGCCGAAGCAACAAGCTCTGCAACTTCGGTTCTTGAAAGCCCTAAAGATTGGAAAAAATCGAGTTTGGGAAAAAGGGTTTTGTTAGGGTTTGATAAGAGTAACGATGGGGACTTATGAACTAGTTTGGAAATTTGGAAATCAGAAAACCCACTATCTCTGAAGCAAGATAGAACAGAGACTGGTCCATCGGAGGTCTGAAAATGAACCTTGTGGGATATAGAGTTGGCGATTTCTGGGGATAACCCACATGAGTTTATGAGGTGAGACACTGTAAAACACTCGATTTCATTCTTGGTTGTTGGTGGTGCTGATGTTTTCTTTGATGAGAAGAATTTGATGGGTATTGTTAAATGTAGATTTTGAAGAAAACCCAGATGGGTTGTGGCTGAAATTCCAACAGAACCACAATGTCTGAGTCGGCTTTGCTGACAAAGGAAAGCAAACATTGCATTCAAAGTGATATGATAGAGAAAATATTCCGAGGGTAGAGATTATGAACTCGCCAGCTTCGCCAAGATTTTCTCGATCGATTCAGCATCTCTCTCTCTCTTCTATTTCTTGATCGATTCAGATTTTTTTTTAAAAAAAATTTACTCGCTAAAACGATGTCAGGCTCTCTCAGCCATTGAATGGATCAAGCAGATCACTACAGGATTTAGAGCATCTCCAACGGTAGTAGGCATTTTACCTATCTGAATATTACTATAAAGTATATATTTTATTTTGCCTATCAACTGTTTTATGTTTTTACTCCAACCATGCTCTTTATTTTAGCTATTTATCCAAATACTATTAATTTTATCAAATGCCACGTCAACAACAAAGATGGAGGGAAATGATCCTAATGAATGAATACATTTTGCCTAGCGTTGAAGGCTAGCTACATGTAGCTAGTGAATATGAGTTGAGGCAAAATGCCTAATCATATGCCTAGTGCATTGGAATTGAAAAAAGTGAATCACACTAGGCATTTTAACTAACAAGTATTATATGCCTAGTGCATTGGAGATGCTCTTACACTCTAGAGGTTCTTAATGCATCCCATTTGCTGTGTACTGATACTGCTTGCTCTGCTTAGGGAAGTGATTAAAGAGCTTTAATTCTAATTTGAGCTATAGTACAGTGAGGTGGCACAGTCAAGAAAAAAAAAAACATAAAAAGTAAATAAATAAAATAGAAAATCTAGTTCAAGTTTAGCATCATAGTACAGGGAGGTTATTTTATTAGAATTCTCAATTATTTTTTATTCTTGCAAATACGCGTTTCCTTTTGAGCAGGAAAATGGCTTGAAAAGCTATTAAAGTATTAAAATTAATAAATTTTACTATTAATTTAAAATTTATTTAAAAAACATGCACTGAATTGTAATTTATTTTATAAAAGAAAGCAAAAACAAGAACAAAATTATTTGTCACATATCAGCAAATAATCAGCCAAACACGCCCAATGGTAGGAATGGTCACTAACCTAGTAGAGGGTATTTAGAATGATTTAAATCAGTGTATTTTTATTTTTTATAAAAAAATATACAGAAAAAATAAAAATTGATATGACTCAAAAAAAATAAAAAGTATACTTTTTATATCATAGCAAATAGTCCCCTAGTAATAAAGGTTGTTAAAATCATAATTTTAGACGGAATTGTTGGAAGAAAAGGATAAATCAAATCAAATCAAATTGTAAAATCAAATTAAAAATGATAAAATTTTACTTTTAATACAAAATAATATAAAATAATTATTAGTTCATATACCAAGTTAAGTGGTCGAGCTTCACATGACAAGATTAAACTTGAACCCGGCTTATGTTTATCTTTACTCAATGGTACTTGATGGCGATTAAGGGTTATATAGCGATCCCGGTTGTCCCTCTACTGTTCTGTTGTATTCCGGACTCGGTTCCGTGAAGTTGGTAGTTGTATATATCTTGTTGTCATCCTTTAATTCCGTTTGTTTGAGTTATAGGATGTGTTGGGCTTGTTTCGAAAAGGTGGGTTGAACCTTGGTCTAAAATCTTGTTGCCAGGTTTTTGGTCGTCCCGCTCGAGCGGGTCTTGTTGCGCTCGAGCGAATATTGCACACTCCCAGTTTTTCGTGTCCCTGCAAAACTTCTGCAGGTGTGATTTTTACGCTCGAGCGGTGGCACTCGAACGGGTACTCTGGCGCTCGAGCGGGTAGTACCTTTTTGGTGTAAGTTCTGGGAGGGGGAAATCCACGCTCGAGCGGACTGGATTTCGCGCTCGAGCGGATGTGCTTTATTCTTGTGTCTTGGCGCTCGAGCGGGCCTTCTTGCGCTCTAGCGTGTCTAGATTTTTGTTCTTGACGCTCGAGCGTTGTGTTCTCCACTCGAGCGGGAATGTCGTATATCAGTTGGCAGCTGGGCATTTTAAAATCACTTTTTGCATTCTCTCTCTCTCTCTTACTTTTCCAAAAAGCCATTTGAAAGCTCCTCTCTCTAAAACCATAACTTCTCTCTAAGTATTGATCTAGCTAGGTGTTTTCCTCACCTTTGGTCTTCACAAAAGTTGGGTTGATCGTCGAGGGCTTTACCTTGATCCGAAAATTTCGAGTTTTGGAGCACGTTGAGTTTCGTCATCTTCTTCTCTTGAGCTCCAAATTTGAGGTAGGGATTCCTACTCACTATTATGGTATTCGACATAGATTATTGGTAATTTTGATAAAGTGTTGAAGTTGGTTGATTTTGGGACTTAGGGTTTCAAAAAGGGTATAAACGAGGGTTTTATATTTTGATTCTTAAACATGTATTTTGGGTTTCAAAATAATGATGTTGTTGTTGATGGTTGATATATAGGCCATTGGGTCAATATTGGGAAATGGGGTAAAAAACCCTAATTCGTTGAATAAATTAATTGGTATAATTAATTTGGGAAAAATTGTGGACTTATGGAATTGAGTTGAAAATAATGAAATTGGCTCATTATATTGTGAAATGATGGAGTTGGATTTATAAATCGCTCACTTTTGAAAACATTGATATTTTATCTGTTGGAGCTTTCATTATCTGTTTAGAAATAATTGCTTGGGCTACCGGTGGAGGGTAGTTTGATTGTTGTAGACAATGCATGATGATTAAGCAAACTAAAACTAATCAATTGGTTATGTCATAGAGTATGACGGTTGATAGAATACATTAACGTTATGTATTGATTGATTGTGTATATGACCTATATGTATATACATTGTGTGTGTGGGAGGAGATATGGGATGTACTCCACGGTTTAGGAGAAGATAGGGGATGGACCTCTAAGCCGGATGTTGTTTAGGAGGAGATAGGGGATGGACTCCACTGATACAGCTCATATGCTTGTCAGATAATGTGTTGATATAGCTCATATGCTTATCTTTGGAAATGTTAATACAGCTCATATGCTTGTCATTGGAAGTGTTGATATAGCTAATATGCATATCTGTTGAAATGTGGATATAGCTAGTATGCTTATCTGTTGAGATGTTGATACAACTAATATGTTTATCTATTGTAAAAATGGAAAATGTTTAATATGAGTCATTGTCTCATATAAGTGGTTGGCCAGGTTCTGAGCCGTTGATGTAAATTGTGAAATTGATAAGAAATGGAAACTGAAGTGAAATGGAAATGGGTTATGAATTGGTTTATGGAAACTGAACATTTATCAATTGCTAATATCTTAGTCATTGCTCATACTGTGTTTAGCATATCTCTACTGGGCGTTGGCTCACCCTTTATGGGACATTATTTTCAGGTACAGGTAGTATGCCACCTCCAAGGACATAACTTGGATGATGATGAGAGTTGAAGACTCTTTCTGTTTATTTTGATGTATTATATGTAAATTCAAGCAAAGGGCTTTATATGTATTGAGTTAGTACTCTTCTTTTTGTACCCAAGTGTTAACTTGAAAAGCTGTAAGCCCATAGGGCATTTGCTTTTATTGTTAACATGTAATACAGTTGTAAGAATTACTCTGATGAATAGAAATGGTTGATTTCTTTTGTATCAATGCATGTCTAAAATGTTGGGTATTATGTATTATTTTGAGGGCGTTACAACTTAGTATCAGAGCGTACCGGGTTCGAATACTTTGGGTACGTGGGAAGTGATTAGGATCACAATGGGTTTGTCTCGCTTGATAGAGACTTAGATGTAGTGTCATATGCTATGTGCTTAATTGATAACATGCTTATGTGACTATGTGGGTATGGGATTTAATTTCTAGGATACTGATTGGATCCCTACCCACATGCTCAACAGATATGTATAACAACAATATCCACATTCTCAGATAAGCAAATAAGCTATATCCACATTCTACAACAGATATGTATAACAACAAAA